TGTCATTTCATACCTTTCAGTGTTGTGTGCATATACTACTTTTGTTAAAAAATAAAAAAAAAAGCAGAACAGGAAATAAAACACCTGCATTTCTTACAGAGTAGCAATTAAACTTATTTATTTATTTATTTATTTATTTATTTATTTATTTATTTATTTATTTATTTATTCTTTTAGGGCACTTTGGCCTCTGACTTGAACCTGCCTGCTAAACTTTATTTCTCATTATATTTTTTTCCCTTAATTTCTGGATAGATTGAAATGCTTGCTTGGCACCACACTACTCTAGTCATTTTTGGTCCCTTTCCCCTCCTCTCTTTCAGCATTAATGCCTCCTCCTGGAATGACCTCATTCCTTCTCTGCAGGTTTGGACACCCAAGTTTCAGCTCACGTCTCCCTTGTTTCAGCCTCCCGCCGGTACCTCAGCTAGAGCTAATCTCTCCTGCTGCCTGTGAACCATCACAACTCCCGATTTCAATTCTGCTTGGATGCTTCCCTCTTGGACCTTGTGTCTTGTTTATGGGATGCCTGCCACCCCTCAGCTGCAGAAGGGCAGGGACTGGCATCGATGCACCTTGGTAACCCCCCAGAGTGCCTAGCCCAGAGCCATGCTTGGAAGTGGCCAAGAACTGTTTGTAGCATATTAGCTTGCCTGACAGGTGCAGTGTCAAAGGAGACGGGATGATCCATAGTGTCAGTGGGCATGAGCAGAAACAGGGACTGTCACATGCCATTGTTAGGAGTGGGAATTGGTGCAGCATTTTTGGAGGACCGGCGATTGGCTGTTAGTTTCTCTTGCATGTATATCCAACCTCAGTGAATGGAGATTGGAGCTGGATGCATGGGCCATCGATTCTTAGTGTCTCTATCTTCCAAGTTTGAGATCGTGCAGCTCCATCAGGTGCACATGGCAGAACTGGGGGCAGCCCCAGGATGCACTGTCTGAGGACTCCTGGCTTCGTTCTCCTCCTGGAGTACCACCCTTCCACAAGAGCCTCATTGTGTATGGGGCGCCCAGTGAAGAGGTTAAAGTCCACCCATTCAGGTGTCATCTCATCATTTGTATAATCTGGGAGTTGCATTCCTGAGCGGCCGACCCCTTTTCAGAGCCTGCCTAGTTGAGATGTCACTTCCCTGACAGTGAGGCACTTAGGCTTGGAGAGAAAATCACAATGTGCTCCCCCCTTCTCAAATTTTCCCTAACAATTAACGCTGCACTAACTTGACACCCTCTTTCCTTGTTTGGCTTTGTAAACCCCGGTCCCTTTTTCTATTAATTCTAGACATTAATATTTTCTTTCATGCAACTGCCGCCATTCACCCGTGAAACAGTTTGAACGTTATGTAGCTGTCAAGATGCCTGGGGATTACCCAGTATGCCTTGCCTGTGAGAAAGTGACACCACCGGGGCCTGGTTTTGAGATGTTTATTTTGAGAGGAGGCTGACAAGCATGAAGTCCTGATCCCAGAGTGGCAATTTCATTTAATTAAAGGCCTCTTTTTATTATAGTTTTCCCCCACTTTTTTTTTTATATATATATATCAGAATGATGGTTGAAGCCTGCCTTGCCAGAGGTGTACCTTGCACTGCAGAAAGAAGGGGTGGGCACGTTGCTCACTCAGTAGTGAGGATCGCCCTGAACGGCTGTGAACACGCTCATTTTTACTGTCCCTCTCAGAACTGCTACTCAACATGGTGTGTGTGTGCCTGTGCATCCCAGCCTGAAATAAAGAGGGCTGGCCTCCACCTCTGTGTTGCCAAACTTAAAACGTGAGAGCTAAATATGTATGTGTGCGTTTGTAGCTTATTTAGTTTATTTGTTTAAAGTAAGTATCCTTGCAATGCTGGAAGGCTAACATAGCAACACTGTGCCTTAGTTAAGGCTTTTAAGTGATGTATATGATCTTACTCTCTTGTGATGTCACTTTTAGTTCAGATAGTTGGGAAATTTATCGCATTTGTTTTTCGTCATTTTTAGTACTGGAGCTAAACAGAAATGTAAAAAGGAGCTGAGAAATTAAAAGATAGAAGTAATTAATGATGGGTATTAATGATTCTGTGAATATTTGTAGCTGAGTAGCCTAGTTCATTTTCGATATGATAATCTTAGACTATATTGGCTTGACTTTAATATCAGAAATTCATTTTAATAAACATCCTGAGGGTCTATCTTGGGCACTGTCAAAGGCATGTGGCATATATTGTGAACAAAACAGGCTGTGTCTTGGTGTATTTATTCATTGTATTGTGCTTCAAAATTAATATCATAACTTCTCAAGTTGGATTGTTTCTTTCTTTGTAGCATTATCACCTGGCCTCCAGGCTGTGTCTTGGTGTATTTATTCATTGTATTGTGCTTCAAAATTAATATCATAACTTCTTAAGTTGGATTGTTTCTTTCTTTGTAGCATTATCACCTGGCCTCCATTCATCCCCTCACTGATTCCTCATTCACTTGTCCCCTCTTTATTCACCGTCCGCTAGGTATTAATGAACAAGTATATCTCAGGCATGGATGATGACATGCATGTAACATACATGCATGTAGCACACACACGTAACACACACACAGCACATAATTCATCTATTATGTTTGTGGGCATTTTTTTTTTCTCTCAATTGATCTGAAAAGTGTGGAGGAGGGTCTGCCATCGCCCTTCTTTCTGCTTTGGGCTTAGTAACTGGAGGGACATTATTCATTCCTTCTGGCGTCTGTTTCAAAGCTCCCCGGGAGGAGCCGGGCAGGTCAGCGGTGTCAGCTCTGAGGCCAGATGAGGGCTTGGCTGACGTGCAGTTCAGTTGGCCCAGGCGAAATAATGTTCCCTGCTTTAGTGCAGGTGTTGGGAGGCAGCAGAGAACAGCAACTTTGTTGATTTAATCTCTCTACACCCCTAATTCCAGTCTCAGTCCCATTGCCCCATCTTTTGAGTCAGTGGTTCCAAAGATTATTTATTATGATTATATTTTAAAGTGCAGGGTTCTGTTGAATCAGCCATCTGGCTAAATGTTTAAATTTTTTTTTTTTTTTTCCTTTTCACTGACTCACTGCCAGTCCTTGGAGGGATGAGTTTCTCCCCAGGACCCTCCTGCCATTTGCTGGTGCAGATGGATTTTGTTTCTTGAATTTTAGAGGGTAGGTAGGGGTGACCCTACATACTCCCAGTGAAACAAAACAGAAAAAGCCCAAGGAGCCCATTAGTATTCTACCACTAACGGCAAAAATGGAATTAGTCATTTAGTCCCAAATTGTTTCCTTTCTCTCCACCTCTGGGGCCTTTGATCACTCTGCAGGGAGACAGTTGTTCTGGGTGTGCTCAGGAGAATGCTCTGAGCCCAGGAGTGTGGGAAGAATCCCTATTTAAAGAAGATCCAAGGCTTTTATGTATGTTTTAAAATTCTGTTTTTTTCTTTTGAAGGCACAAGTGATCCCTATGTGAAATTTAAGCTAAATGGGAAGACGCTGTATAAAAGTAAAGTTATATATAAGAACTTGAACCCTGTTTGGGATGAGATAGTTGTATTGCCCATACAGAGCATTGATCAAAAGCTGCGTGTCAAGGTAATCACAGATGGCTTTCAAATCTGTTCCTTTATTAAAAACATTTATTTCTCAGCAGTTTTTCATGCCTTCTTAAAAATGAACTTGCCAAAATTAATTATTTTATTATCCTCAAGGACTGGGTTAAGAATATTAATATAGAAGGAATTCTTTATACCATTTGTTGAAATTGTTTGTTTCTCTCAGATCAATGAGATATGCTCTGCAGAAAATCAGAGTGGAAATAAAATATCCATTGATTGTATTGAAATTTACTGAAGTGGAAGAATTATTACTGGTAGTGGCAGTGGCGACAAGTACTAAAGCCTTTCTCATTAAGAATAACTCTGTATTTAATAGAGCTTTAAGCTACTGGTTGTGAGCATCAATTGCTCTAACATCTGGGTTAAAACTGCATGAGTTGAGTGCAGGATGGGATTGCTATAGAATATTTAGCAAATTTCTATTTAATTGACAGATCTGCTCACTGTGGAAAATACCAAATTTAAATGAGAGACTATTTAAACTACAGACAATGGTCCACTGTGCATAATGTTTTAATTCATATGAATGCTGCCTTAAAAGTATTTTCTGCTGTTGTTTTGGCCATCGTAGACAAAATGGGCAAAATTGAATAATTCTGATCTCTGCATAAGCTTGGCTAAATTTCTCTTTATCTGTATTGTGCAAATTATTGTAAGATCTGAAAGACTGATTTCAAAATTTCCAGCCAATTGCATTTTTTAATAACTTCATAAATTTGGTTGGTTTACCATATTCATATGTGTTACTGGCCTCTGCCCTCTTTGTAGGTATATGATCGAGATTTAACCACATCTGATTTCATGGGTTCTGCATTTGTCATTCTCAGTGATCTTGAGCTTAACAGGTATTGTATTTTTACCGTTTAATTGTTATTAATGAATTTTAGGGGGAACTCAAGATAATGTTAAATGGTGCTATTTTTTAGATCAAATTATAAAGAATAATACCTGAATCCGTGAAAGAGTGCTTTTATAAGTGTTATAACAATATATTTTCTAAGATTTTTGCTTTTTAGATGCCATCAGTTGTTAAAGATTTAACATCAGATGTTAAATTTTTTATGATGTATCCTGAAATCTGTACTGGATTTTGCAATTTCAATTTCATTTGTTAACATTTAGGTTCATTAACCTAACTTAAAATTAAAACAAGAATTTAATTTTATTTGGGCGGTAGAGAAGGGGAATCAGTTAACCAAATGTTGACTTAGACGATGCCAAACAATGTTTCTAACATTGAATATGGTTGGTTTATTTTCACTGAATTTGGTGCCTTTTTAGCATTGTGTCTAATCCTTATTCACAAGTAGGAAACTTTTACCATAAGAACCTGATGCGTATGTGTAAGGCTATACAGTATTATTAATAAGTGATAAAATTATTCGTTGCTTTTTGCTTATAGAACGACTGAACATATTTTAAAATTGGAAGATCCAAACAGTTTAGAAGATGACATGGGAGTGATTGTGTTAAATTTGAACCTAGTAGTAAAACAGGGTGATTTCAAGAGACATGTAAGTGTGACCCTTTTGTTCTTTTTAAATTCTTCATTACGATTGCTTTTTGATTTCTGAGTTAACAGACAACTGACACTTCTGCAATTATTTTAGGTGGGAGACAAATCATTTTAAAGAGACTTAAAGTACTTATCTGTGGTTATGTACATCCTCTCTTTTGAAACACTGGAGAGAAAATCCATTAAGGAATTATATCTTTTGAATGTTTTCTTTTTCTTTTTTTTTTTTAATTTTTATTTTGTCAATATACAATGTATATGATTATTATGGCCCTTCACCGACATTTTGAATGTTTTCTCCACAAAGAAATAATAAATGCATGAGGTGATTGATAAATAAGCTACCCTGACCCATTTATTACACAACATATATATATATATATATATATATATATATCAGAATATCAGATTGTGCCCTATAAGTATGTACAATTACAGTGTGTAAGTTGAAATAAAATGTAAAAAATTTCTTCTATTTAGTTTTTTTTTTTTTTTGGCCCTATATTACTTCAGCATTACTCAGTTATGAAAAACAGTTATCAGGATTTAATTATTGTGTTGTAACTTGTGTATTAAGGCAATCAAGTCTATGTTTGCAGAATTTCAATTTCTTCTTCTTTCTCTTTTTTACTTTTAACTGCCAAGTTTTCTATTGGAAGTGTTTTGGGGAAGATACAGATTTTAATGTTCTCTGGTCTATTTCATGGAAATTTCTAGTCATCACACTTCCCATTGAAGATGTCTATATAACATCAACAGTTCCTTAGATTTTTGTCATGATATGATGGAGGCTCACAAATATGTGGGTATGAATTGTAATATTATTCTCTTTTCAAGGATTATGCTTGTACCTTAAAATTCTAAGAATTAAAATAAGAACAAAAAGCATCTTTGATTATAACTTATTTGAAAGGTATTTTTAAAGTCAACTAAAGTACCTACTTGAAAAAGAATAAGATATGTTATAATTTGGCATGTTTAGAATCCAGTATGAAAATCTGAAACCTATTAATAAATTAGGCCTCCAATAATGCTTCTTGAATTGAGGCAGTGGATGGATGAGAGGAATATACTTCATTTGACATCACTTAAACTTTTAACTGAAATTTATTTCATTATGAAAGTCATGACTGATTGACTAGTAAACACAGAAGATAGCTTCAAGAAGTAGAAAAACTGCACTGTGACTTTTCAATTGCCAGAGGTCACTAAATATTCTCTATTTTTAATTTAAAAATTTTACTTACAAGAATTTACTTGACAGTACAGAATAAAACTACATTTATTACTTTTTATAAAAAGTGGCACTGTTAACACTGGAGACCTCAGTAATGCTGATATTTTCATGTTAAAATGTCTTAAATTGATGTTGAAAATAAACTTTTTCTTTTCCTATTTCACACAAGGGAAGTGGGATTTTCTTTAGCTTTCTCTCACTCTTGACAGTGTTGCCTCTGCCTCTGTGACTCTGGATTCGATGTCAATGGGTGTAATAGGTGACAAGTCACTTGGGCTGAGGACCAGGTTAGAGTAGCATGTGATGTAAATAGGTGTCATTTGCTACCTAGCTGAGCACTTGCCAGCTGATGTGTTCAAAAATGTTGTACATATTTAAATGGGGTTTGTAAAGTTGGATGATTTCCCCATGAAAATAGCTGCATATTGAAATGACTACCCTTGTGAATTTTTCTACAGTATATTGGATTATGTTTAGCAGTAATCTTGGCACTTAAAATATATTTAAGTATTGCCAACATTTGGAGTTTTAAAGTAATGCCATTTTAGTTTCAATTTATTTCAAATGGCAGGGAAATTAATACTAGATGCAGTTAGGTTTGTTTTTGTAAAACATCTCAAATAATATCTTTCAAAATCCAAAGAGTAACCTCAGTTCTCCTCTCACTAAACTAATTTGGCCCATCTTTTGTCTGATTCCCCACCCTCTATACAGAAGAGTTTGTAGAACGTCCACCTGCTTACTCGTGTGCTTTCTTGTTTTCTTTGTTATTTGTTGTCTGACAGAAGTCTAGTGTGCAATATATTTATATATATTTTATGGGGATATTCTAATGTAAAAAACTCTGCCTGCTCTTATTTTTTCTGATTGGTAGTTTTCTTTTTCTGTTTATATACTTGACCAAAGTATAACCGATCAAGGAATAATTATTCTCAGCCATGTACCATGATTCAAATTACAGTGCATATCATGGGCTTTTCAGGTATAACACATATCAG